CCCCCCCTACTCCTCGCACACGCCTTTCCTTCTGGCTTGTCGTGTGCACAGTCATGTCCTTGCTCCCATCCAGATCCTCAGCTCCTGGAGGACAGGCCCTATGTCTAACCACTGTGGAAGGGACCCCGCTCCCCTGCTGCACCTGTCTCTCTAAGCCCAGCCTGGTGCTTCCACACTGGGCACATGCTCAGTATGCCTGCGTGGAAATGAGTTTCAGATTTCCACTGCCTCTTATGAAATGTTACCACTTTCTGTGAAGTATTATAGTTATGAGTCCACATGTTTTATTTATTACGAGGTCAAGAGTCGGCGAACGTTTTTCAGGAAAGGACTAGATTGAAAACATTGGAGAGTCAGTAGGCTGTGCACCCTGTGTTGCCAGCCCTTCGCTCTGTTACTGTAGAGGAGCAGCTGCTATAGATGATGTGCAAATGATGGGCATTGATGTGTCCCAATAAAACTTTACCAGAACCGGCAGTTGGCACAAATCCTCCAGCAGTGTCCTATGACCCAGCACTTCCAGAAATAGCTCCACTTGACCCCAGAGAATCCCTGGGCAGCCCAAACGGTGAAGCGCCTAACTGCAGGCCAAAAGGTTGGCAATTCTGGTGCCTCAGCAGACAGGACTGGTGACCTGCTTCCAGAACGCCACTGCCTCAAAAGTCCCTGTGGAACCCGGTTCAACTGCACACAGGGGGCTGCCACCCGTCAGTCGGCTTAGCAGTGTTGCCAGTCCCCGGAGGACTTGTAACAGGGCGTCCACTGCAGCGCCATTTATAATGCAGTGGTCCCAGTGCCAGCAGAGAGGGGAGCGGACACGTGGAATGGTCTGCCGACATTCAAATGAACATGTTCTCTGTAAAAGGCAGGTGCACGTCTCCGACGTCACGCTGGATTGAGCCACGGAAGATGACACGCTGATTTCACTTATATAAAGCCCAACCATGTGGGGAAGAGGGGTGGGCGCTGCAGGGGGCACTGGGTACATTCTGTCTCTTAATCCCACTGCTGGTTGGGTACAGGGGGGTGGGGGTGGGGGCTGTTACTCAGTTTGGGAAGCGTCATCAGCCGTGTACTGTTGAGTCATGTACTTTTCGGTATCGATGTAATAGCTTGAGATAGATTAGATAGATAGATAGATAGATAGATACCAATGTAATGGCTTGATTATTGTATGTGTATATAT